AACCTGATGGAGGAATAGAGATGGAAGCAAGTTTTGATATAGAAGAAAGGAATTGCTGAGCCAGTCTCACTGGCTAACCAAGACAGCAAAGGGTGTGTTAGTTAGAAGGGGTTTTATGGCTTAGAGCAAAGGATAAACCCACCCCAAACAAGAAGATGTTTTTACCAAATAGAAAGAGAGCACAGGCAAACAAGTCAGCAAAGTTGCAAATAGAAAAAAGTCTCAGAATTTTCCACTGCAAGAAAACTGAAAAACAACTTCTAGCTTAAACTGTAATGTACTAACTTTTGGTGATTGGAGAACAGTGACATGAATATGGTAATTATAGCAGCTATGATAGGCTATAGATAACAGTTAAGGTACAGATTGGTTCTGCTGTATGAAGGTGCTCAGCACAGAAAAGTCTATAATGCATTGTGACCCAAACCAAAGGGTCTCCAGGCCTGCCTGCAGCTGGAGCTGACAGCTGTAGGCACAGCTCTGTCACCCACAGGCCTGGACTCTTGGATGGAATAAACTGCATTTTGTATACAATAAACTGCATTTTGGAGAGCCCCTGGAGTCCCACATTTCTCATTCAGGCTCTTACAGAATAATGTCCTTAATTGCACAGCACCCTGATCTGTCAGCCACCTCAACAGCTCCCAACAGAGACTGAAAAGGAAAAAGGAAAAAGGAGAATTTCACACCAAACTTATTTTCCAGTGGCCTTCCTCCAGCTGGAGTGATGCTCCCTCTGGAAGGACTGACAGCCCAGATCTGCACAGTGGTGAAATCTTGCTCAGCACTGTTAACATGCTAAAGCATTTGAGCTTCCAGCTGTTTGGATTAATATTTGCTTATGGTCTATCCCAGTAGTTTTGCAGTGAATATGAGTCATTGCTTCAGAACGCTCATCTCTTCACTCTGGCTGTCACAGGGGGTGGAAAGATTTCTCCTGAACGTAACTTGAATTTTCATATGATTCTGGAATCAGCTTTGTGCACCTCTTCCCATCTCCTTGGGGTAAGGTATGAAATTCCCCATTGCAGTAGGTGGGAACAATTTGAGTTTCATTCCAGCTGTGATCCCCTGGGGCTATAACCAGATTGTTCTGTGCTACACACACATTTGGCCAGGTTATTGCAGAGCTGTCTAACACTTGACATGGTGAGCAAGGACACGTGAAATGCTGAACTTCACTGAGGAGCACTGGGCTAAGAACCATGAATGGAAGTGAGGGGAGTCACTGACCCATCACTGAACTCCTCCAATCACTGCAACTGAAAAATCAACTCCAGGAGCTTTTCTTGGATCCTCATTTGCATCCCACCTTTCCTATGATTTTAACATGAGGGGAACATCCTGATCCACACAGACTGGTAACAATACAAGTGAAATTACTTGTTTGGGTTGTCCTCAGCTACCATTAACACTCTGCACTTAATGCTATACCTTGTCAGTGTAGCTTTTTATTTATCAGTAGTCATTATGTATCTATACCTACATCTATCTATCTATCTATCTATCTATCTAATCTATCATCTATCCATCTATCAAATCTATTATCTATCTAATCTATCATCTATGTATATATTATCTATCTAATCTATTATCCATCTATCAATCATCTATCTATCCATCCATCTATCCATCTATTATCTATCAATCTATTTAATCTATATATCTATCATCTATCTATCTAATTATCCATCCATCCATCCATCCATCCATCCATCCATCCATCCATCCATCCATCCATCCATCCCTCCATCCAGATTCCTTTGCCAGCTTTAATGCAGGCACCTCCACATCTGCAGTGTTTATGTTGTAAATAAATAAATTATGCTCTAATCCACTGGCACTTTTTCAGTTTTGTACTGGGGAGCGTTTGTGATGAACATCTTCCCTCTGTGATTTCCTGTCTGTTTAATAAATAATTCACTTTATAAAGACACCTCATTTGCTATCACCAGAGCATGTGGGCCAGAGGGAGTCCTTAAATTCAAACTGCTGCCAAAGTGTGAGGCTCTGGCCCTGCACATCTCAGGAAGGTGCTTCAGGATGGCAAATGAACTGCAGCCTCTGTAAGGTCCCTCTCCAGAAGAGATCCCTTCTGTGATAACTACAAACAACGAGCACAGACATTCAGAAATGGTGATTTGCCTTTGTGAACACTCCCTGCACAATGTGCACCCTGTGGCTCACGGCAGGACACCTGGACAAGGCTCAGCATCCAAAGGAAAGCAATGGAAAATACACTTCCAAAAAAATGGTGTTTATGGGGACCAAAGCTTTGGGGCTGAACATTTACAGGAACTGATGCAGGGATGGCTCTGGAAAGGGCTCCAGGAGGAGCAGATGGCCCTGGTTTGGATTTTATCAGCTCTGGAATGCGGCAGAGATAAGAGCTCATGCTGCAGATAAGGCCAGGGCCGCTCCAGGCTGCCAGCCCTGTCCCTGGGGGATGCTGAGGGTGCACAGTGACACCAAACCCACAGCTGGGGCAAGGCACAGACCCAGGGCACTCCTGACCTTTACACAGATCAGTGCAGCCACTGGAAACACCCATCTGAGCACTTACACCTGCCCAGGGACACTTAACAACCTGCAGCTCCCTCCAGGAATATAAAATAATATAAAAGACACATAACAGAATAGAAAAGAATAGAAAATAGAAAACAAAACCAGCCAGTTTGCACGTACAAAAATTATTCCTCTCAGCTTTGTTACTGGCAACAAACAAGAACTTCATTATGACTTTTGAGGTAATTGCAGACTTTATCTCAAAATTAGATGTTTCCTGAAATATCTGGATGCATCCCCAAAAAGGTAACCTTGCCCCAAGGTTTAGGTCTAAATGCTGAAGTAATTTTCTCCTGGTGGTGTGCAGAATGATAACAAAAGTAATAATTTTGTTTCTGTGTTGCATCAGTGCTCATCAAGGGCAATGCCAAGGGAGATAATGAGAATACAATGAGAAGACAAGGGAGATAATGAGAGCACAGCACAGGCCTGGGAGCTCGTTGTTTCTGCCTGGAATTGGCAACAAAGATTGTCCCACAGGATAAGGGGGAGAGAACACGGCCACAAGGTCAGCGCCAAGGCTGGGGGAGCTGCCAGGGAGGGGAAAGCTGAGCAAATCTGAAAAGCAAAAATGGCATTTCTAAAACATGACCTCTGATGGTAGCAGCTGGGGGTGAAGGAGGGGTCCCCAAAAGGACAAATCATCAGCTAAATTCATCATTAAATGACGAATTTAATTCCCTTTCTGTTAACAGCACAAAGATAAAGACCCCACATGGGAGTAAAAAAGGATTTCTGTTTCGAGGTGGGGTCTTGTCAGCTGGAAAGGACAGAGGGACATGGGGACATTAATAAATCACCTCTTATTGTGCAAAACTGATGTGAGTGGGCACAAAAAACAGACCTGTGATCTCAGAGAGGTTTCAGGAAAAGCCTTTCCTTGGAAAACACCCCACAAGTGAGACTCCCCTGACAATCTGTGTGTGGTTCTGCTCTCCCACCTTCAGGAATGTCCCGCTGACAGCAGCAGGACCAGGGTGGCACCTGGAGTGCTGAGCCTCTCACCTGTGAGCCCAGAGATTTCTGTCTGGATTTTATCAAACAGGGGGCTGTGCTGGGGAGTGGGAGCTGCCCTGGAAACTCCTGGGAGCTGAGGAAAGCCGCTGTTGTACAAAGGCTGCAACAGGATAAAGCAAAGCAGGTACAAACTGGTCTGAAAATCAGCCAAAGAAGGCCAGGAGAAGGTTCCTCAGCAGGAGATTGCAGCAGTGGCCCAGAACCCCTGTGATGTGGAGCTGGTGTGGTGGTGAGGGCATTCTGAGACACCTGTATCACCTCACAGTCCCTTCTGGGCTCTGAACAGAGAATTCCTGAGCATTTCCAGTGCCTGACCTGCAGCACAGGGAATGCTCCAGCACAGGTGTGAGCTGCCCCAGGTGCAGGATGGATCCCACCTGTAGGACACCAGCAGCTCTTGCCCAGCCCTAGGGCAGCTCTCTGTGGCCAGGAGTTGCTGTGATTTCAGGGTTTACCACAGAACCCCAGTTCCTGCCCTGGTAATTCCCTCCCAGGTGTGTCAGCCACCTCTCCTTTCCCCTTCCAGCACTGTCTGTCAGTCCTGGAATTCCAGAATTGGCAGATTCACAGGATGCCCTCTATCCCTGGGGGGCACTGGGCCATCCAGGTGTCCTTTGTCCCTTGTACCTGGCTGGTGGCTCCCTATCCCATCCCTCCTTCCCTTCCCAGGGTAAAAGAGTGAGGAACCACGGGCTCAGGGAGTTCTGCTGGAGCTGGTGCTGCATTCAGAGGCCTGTGGGCCAGAATAAAGCTCTGCATCCAAACCCTCCATCAGAACNTTTAAAGTTCGACACATTTTTGGTTTTTCGGATCAGAATGAAGAACTCAAAACGGAATTTTTAACAAAAGTAATTATTTTGAGAAAAAGTTGCTTCAGAGAAGGCAGAACCCATGCTTTCTGTCATTTGTAGGCCAGCAATCTGGAGCTGCCCAGCTAGCCTGGGGAACTGGGAACGTGGCTGTTTTCTGGGCAGAGATCCAGAACAAGTGTGGAATGCAGCTCCCACAGGCTCCCAGGCCAGGGTGGGACAGGGGACAGTGCTGCCTCACAGCTCACACCTGTCCCAGCACTGCCCCAAACTGAAACATGGCCAGACAGGTCTAAAGCCACCAGCTCGGAACACGATCTGGCTGATAATGGATGAAACAAGCTGGGGAAAAAGGCATTGCTGCGGCGTCTGAGGGTGCCCAAGGCAGAAAACACCTTGGAAGGTATCAAAGAATCGTGGAATAGTTTGGGCTGGAAGGGACTTTAAAGGAGTCTATCCACTACCCCAGGCCTTGGACACTTCCAGGGATGGGGAAAGGAATCACAAGGAATAAATAAAAGCACCCTGGCTGAGAGGGGCAAACGAGCAGGACTCAGGTAAAGAGTTTTTAACCCTTTCCATGCCAGCTCAGGGCAGAACCCCACCACCACCTCTCCTGCTGAACCAGAAGGTGCTACAGACACCAGCTGCACCCTGAGCCCGCCCCAGGGCCCAACCTACGTGTGGAGAAGTAGATGTAGGCGAAGAGGATGATGTAGGTGGTGACGAGCGGGATGAGCTCGGCGATGCCGATCTCCTCCTTGAAGTGCACGTGCACCACGCTCTCCTCGCGCAGGCTGCAGTTGGGGCTGGGGTGCAGCAGCTTCAGCCGCGAGCGCAGGCTGCTCAGGAACCTGGGGACAGCGGTGCTGCGCTGTGAGTTCAGGGTTCATCCAGAAACCTGGCTCCCTCCCGTGACAATCCCCTCCCAGGTGTGTCAGCCACCTCTCCTTTCCCCTCCCGGCACTGTCTGTCAGTCCTGGAATTCCAGAATTGGCAGATCCAAAGGTGTCCTTTGTCCCTTTGTCCCTCCCCTCCTGTCCCTGCTTGGTGGCTCCCTACCCCTTCCCTGCCCTCTCCCCGGGGTTCAAAGGAGCAGCAACCACGGGCTCAGGGAGTTCTGTTGGAGCTGGTGCTGCATTCAGAGGCCTGTGGGCCAGAACAAAGCTCTGCATCCAAACCCTCCATCAGAACCGACTCCTTTCCTTCACCATGGCCTTAATGCTTCTCCACAGAGGGAAACCTGACATCCTCACATCCACTCAGTCCATGCCAGTTTGGCCAACAATGCCAAAGTGTTTCCAGCAGTGCTTACTGGAAAGCCAAGCAGTCTGTGCACAAGGAACTGGGATGTGGATGCCACAGGAACTCCCCTGGCAGCTCTGCATGCTACAGACCCTGCTTGTGAAGGGCAGCTGAGAACTGAGAGTATTTCATTACCATAAAACACAGCGAGTTGTCTCCCAGAAAAGCACCCTCAGAGATGTGAGACCCTCTAAGCCCCAAGGAAGGGGAGGGCAGAGGAGCCACGAGGAGGGGAAGCAGCAGAGCCCGTGCCAGGGCAGCCTCACCTGGAGTCGTAGCGCTGCAGCCCCAGGGTGACGGTGTAGGACACGACGCGGCGCCGGTTGGACAGGCTGACCCCGCTGTACCTGCCAGGCAGCCCGAAGAGCAGGTCTGCAGGGACAGGGGACAGCAGGGACAGCTCAGGGACAGCACCGGGGACAGCAGGGACAGCCACACACAGCACAGGGGACAGTCACACACACACAGGGGACAGCAGGGACAGCTCACACACACACAGGGGACAGCAGGGACAGTCACACACACAGGGGACAGCTCACACACACAGGGGACAGCACAGGGCACAGCCACACACACACAGGGGACAGCTCACACACAGCACAGGGCACAGCCACACACAGCACAGGGGACAGCAGGGACAGCCACACACAGCACAGGGCACAGCCACACACAGCACAGGGGACAGCAGGGACAGCCACACACAGCACAGGGCACAGCCACACACAGCACAGGGGACAGCAGGGACAGCCACACACAGCACAGGGCACAGCCACACACAGCACAGGGGACAGCAGGGACAGCCACACAGCACAGGGGACACAGCTGTCCCCTGCCAGCAGCCCTAGCAGCAATGGCTGCTCTCATCCCACAGGGTACCCCATGCTCTGGGGAGAGCCCATGGGTGGGTCACACCTGGAGCAGCTCCAGCCACAGTGAGCTCACACTGAGACATAAACTTGAAGGTGTTTAGAGATTTCAGAGGAGCTAAGATTTTAGTTAGGGATTAGCTTTATTGGAATGATGAAAATAATTGGAATTAATTAAAATAAATGGGTAGGCCTTGATGAAGTTAAGAGTTAGTAGTTAACTAATAACTGATTGCTTGTCAGCACAATGTTTGGTTAGCTGGGTTTATAATGAAGAATATAGAAACTGATAAATAGCTTTTAGGAACAGCAGACAATTGTGGCCTCCTGTGTTCTGAAACCAGTTGGGGATGGGGAATGAGAGTTCTACCAATGGGTTCATTTGTCACATTTGCATTGAAAAGGTAGAAAGGTCAGAACGAGGAAGACTTCATTTACTTTCTCATTTTGGGACCCCTCCCCATGAAAGGGACCCCCGACCCATTTCAAGGAACAAACTACTCATGCTTAATAGCTTTTGAACTAATTACCATATGAAGTGGGGTATGGGATGTACCAAAGTTATGAAAATGTATCTGTATTTTGGGTATTCAATACTTGTACAGATAAAAGGACTCTGTAATCACCTATAAACTGCAGTGATGTATTTGGGAGCTATCCTACAATAAACATGCACTTTCTAACTTTAAACTGTTAGAGAGTTTTTGTGCCATGACAGTTGGATATCAGTACTAGATCAATATCCATATTTTTTCAACAAATCAACACTCTGGGTGCTCAAAAACAGCCTTTAAAACAAACTCCCTTTAGGGTTACAAACCCCTTTTCAGACATGTAACACGGTACATCACACACTGCCGGATCTCTGAGGCTCCTTTAAAACCAAAGGATCTAACCTGTGCTTAAAGCAGCATTTCCTCTGGCATTATGGAACCATTAACAACCCCACACATGGGCACAGGTTTCTTTATAACTAAGAGGTAAAAATAGTTTTATAATATCCATTATGATATCCATTATGGTCTCCATTGTCAGCCCGGGCTGTGTGCAAGGAACTGGAACACTCATGGAGCAAGATGAATGTTGATTTATCTGTGACAATGAGGCAGCCCTTGAGTGTGACAGAGGGAAAAGCCAGGCTGGAGCTCGTGTAGAGTGAGAGGAACAAAACCCTGCTATTTTTACCTGCAGAAAGAAGCCTGACTGAGTGATCTGTTCACTTCTCACAAATACAGATCAGGGCTCCAATACACATATGAAATGAGAGACAACAAAGAGCGGGCAGCTTCGGCTGCTGTGAATGAAAAAATCCTGCCCAAATTGGCACTATCAGCAATTCCAGTGCTGGAATTAGTGAGGATGGAATAACAATGAAGCTGCAGGCAGCTCTCAGCTTGCCTGGCTCACCTTTGAGAGTGGCTGACGTCTGCAAGGTCTTTGGCTCATGCTGGTGGATGGTTTTGATGATATCTGGGTCGGCGTTGAAGCGCTCGCGGTCGTTCTGCCAGAAGTTCCCTGGGGACAGCAGCAGGCAGCCGTGCTCTGGGAGCAGGTTCCTCAGCTTCCTGAGGCCGGGCAGCAGGTCTGTCACCTGCAGGCACACCTCCTCCAGGCTCCTGACCCCGGAGCTGAAAGGCAAACACAGCGCTGAGGGACCCCAGGCAGGCAAGGGCCAAGCGTGGGGAGAGGAGCGCGCCAGGGACCTGCACCAGGTGTGGCTGCTCCTCCTCCTCACAGCTGAGAGCAGGCTGGGCTCCCTGCCCTGTGAACAGGCCACAGAGCTCCATCAGCATCCCTGGGGCTGCCAGGCCCCACAGCTCTCACTGCTCACAGCTGAGAGCAGGCTGGGCTCCCTGCCCTGTGAACAGGCCACAGAACTCCATCAGCATCCCTGGGGCTGCCAGGCCCCACAGCTTTAATTCCTCAGAGCTGAGAGCAGGCTGGGCTCCCTGCACCTGTGAACAGGCCACAGAGCCCCATCAGCATCCCTGGGGCTGCCTGGCCCCACAGCTTTAATTTCTCACAGCTGAGAGCAGGCTGGGCTCCCTGCACCTGTGAACAGGCCACAGAACCCCATCAGCATCCCTGGGGCTGCCAGGCCCCACAGCTCTCACTGCTCACAGCTGAGAGCAGGCTGGGTTCCCTGCACCAGTGAACAGGCCACAGAGCTCCATCATCATCCCTGGGGCTGCCTGGCCCCACAGCTTCAATTCCTCACAACTGAGAGCAGGCTGGGCTCCCTGCCCTGTGAACACAGAGCTCCATCATCATCCCTGGGGCTGCCAGGACCCACAGCTTCAATTCCTCACAGCTGAGAGCAGGCTGGGCTCCCTGCACCTGTGAACAGGCCACAGAACTCCATCAGCATCCCTGGGGCTGCCAGGACCCACAGCTCTCACTGCTCACCCATCTCTGGTACCACACTTTCACTTCTACATTTAAGACATTTCCACCCGACAGAGAAACTCTCTCTGGAGTTCTTGCAGACTTCAAACCCCTCTGTGCACCTCTCTCCACACATTGTACAGGAGTCCTGGCCAGCCTTCCTGAGGTGGATCCTTTGAGGTGCTCCAAAATGCACCCAGGGTTCAATGTCTGCACCTGGGGTGGTGTTTCCCCAGTTCCTCTGCCTTGTGGGGAAAGGAACATTTCCGGAGAGGTTCAGAATGCACACAGGTGGAACTGGGGTGAACTGGAACCTGGCTTTGGCATCATCTTTACCAACCACTAACTCAAACAAGACCCAGCTTGGGGGTACAAGTGGTGGGAAGTGTTTTAAGATAAGTGTGTGTTCTATTTGCCATCTGTTAAAGGTGGGGCAGTTATCTCCTGTTCATTGGGCAGTTTTCTTTATCTGTCCCACAACCAATCCTCCCTCCAGGATATACCTTCTATTAATGAGCCTTTAATTATTCATTATCTTCTGTCCACGCCCACTGAGTGTCCCTGCAGGGCTGATCCCATTCCAGCATCCCATGGGGAGATGCTCCGCCCAGGGGAGGAGCCAAGCATTCCTACCTGGGTACAATCTGGGCCTGGCACAGCACAGCAGCCTTTGCCCCCTGCATTGCCAGAGGAGCAGCTTTCTGCTGCCCTGCATGGCCAGAGGGAGCCCAGGCCCATCTGCAGCAGCCCTGGAGCTGCAGAGGAAAACTCCCCCCTTGTGCAGGATCCCTGCTGCAGCAGAGCCACAGCTGGCACTGCAGGAGGGCTGAGCCCCCATGGCATGGGGCTGGGACACCCCCTGGCACTCAGGGGGCAGGGACTGTGATCACTCTGGCAGTGTCTTTTTGGCATTTTTTGTGGTTTTTTTTTCCTTTTTGTTGTTGTTGCTGGTTGTTTGTTTGGGTTTTTGTTAATGTTTTTGGGGGTTTTTTGTTTGGGTTTTTTTTGTGGGTTTTTTTGTTTGTTTTTTTTGCTTTTGTTTTTTGTTTTTTTGTTTTTACTATCGCATTTTTATTTTTGCATATAAAATATAAGTAAACAGTTCTTTACTTTCCCTAGTAAAGAACTGTTATTCCTATTCCCATCTCTTTGCCTGAGAGCCTTTTGATTTCAACATTCTAACAATTCAGAGGGAAGGGATTGACATTTTCCGTTCCAGAGGAGGCTCCTGCCCTCCTTAGCAGATTCCTGGCTTTCCAAGCCCAGACAGGAGGGCCAGTGCCAGAGCAGCTGTGGGTCAGAGCAGTGTAAGAGGCCATGTCCATGTCCATGCCACCCCAGCAGGAGCTGCTCTGCTGCCTGGCACTGCCCAGTGACCAGACAGGAGCAGTCTCACAGGAATTATCGTTATTGCCTGGTGCAGTTATTCTGGCCCCATGGGGTTAGCACTGCTCTGGCACCTCCCTCTGCCCAAAAACTCCTCACTGCTCTCCCAGTGGGACAGGAGCTGCATTTCCGACTGACAGACACCCCACAGCACTCCCCCAGACCAGAAACCTTCTGTGCATTGCCCTGTTAAAGGACAGCCTTTGACACTTTTAACTGACACTGGAGCTCAGACCTCTTTAATTACTACCAAGGATGGTGAAAAGCTGAACTTAGGCTTTAAAAATAGAGAAGTTCATTTAACTGGCTTTAATGGAAAAAGTATTCTCTGTTATACCTCCAAAGTGTGTTTACGGTTACCTGGGGAAAAGGGAATAACTTCACACACATTTGTGATGGCAGATCATGAAGAAAACGTTTCAGGATATGACATCCTTAAAGGGAAACTTTGTAATTACCAACCAGGGATCTTTGGTCCTTTGGACCCAACAAAACCCCAGAGTAATCTTCCAGGGAATGGCAGGAAAATCAGACTCTTAAAAGGGTTCCAGTTTTACCTGTTCCTAACATTAAACAGCACCCTGTGCCTCCTGCAGCCAAACAAGGCATAAATGAAGTAATTAAAGATTTAGAACAAAGGGCCATTATATCCAGGATGCATTCACGATTCCCCTGCTTGACGGGTGACAAAAGGAGACAGGAGCTGGCATTCAGCAGTTGATTATCAAAGCTTGATGCTGACACAGAAGCACTCCCTGCAGCAGCCCCAAATGGTGCAGGGCTCACTGCTCTTCTGCAGGCTCTGCACACAAAGGGGAGGCAGCCTGGCATGGGAAAGATGGGTTTGATGGTTTCTTCCCAGTTCAGGAAGAAGATAAACCCAGCTCTGCATTCATTTGGGAAGGAACAATCCACCTTCAAGTGCCTGCCTCAGGGATTTATGCACTCACCCAGCACAGCACACAGCACTTCAGGTGAACTCCAGCAAACCAGGAGCACAGATTTACCATAAATTGGTAGGAGGTGAGGAGGAAAGTGCTGTAAGAACAAGGGCACAGGATATCCAGAACAGATTAAACAGGGAGGGGATAGAAGTGCCCTCAGCTCAGAGCCCAGGCCCTCTAAAGAGGTGGAATTCCTGGGAACCTGGGGGCAGCAGGCCAAGCTGGAATTCCACATAAAACAAAATTAGATGCTGTATCTAGCCCCACTACTGACAAGGAGCCTCAAAAGATACTCTGGGATACTGTAGAAATCACATTACTGGATTTTCTAGAATAGCAAGACCCTTGTGCACATTAATGAGGAAAATCCAAATCTGGGAACAAACAGGCTTTGCAAACACTGGCAGAGGAGTTAAAGCATCAATCACTGGGGCCAGCTCATCCCAGTGATCTGAACCAGCTGAATGGGATTTTGGGAACAGGGGCCTCACTGTCATGTGTCTAGGATGCTTAGTCTAGGATGGTCACAAGTTCTTGGTTGTAGGACAGTGTATAACTTCCTGATACAATGGACAGTTCCACAGAGTATGTTTTGATTTTCTAATCTATCATTTCACTTTTTTGTACTGCAGTATGGATACTTTTGCCCAATAAGGCCTGATTACATGTACACAAATATGTCCCTATTATAATATCCAAACTCTTTATTCTATCACAATCACATTACTACATTACTGTACTATAACACCCTTCATTATCTTATCTAATATGTCAATATCTTATCTAATATGTTAATATCTAATGAGTATCTTACTAAAGGCCTATTCTTACTTATAACTATAGAAACACACTTATAACTATAGAAACATACTTATAACTATAGAAACATAATTTATACAAAGTTATAGATATCTATAACTTATAGAAACATAAGTTGATGATTTCTCTGTTTGATGTCTGTGTACCTTGCTTTCACATCAATTTAGGCTTCTTCTAAGGCTGTAAATTAAATTATTTTGTGTTTGTATAATACATTACAATATAAATAATTTATTTATAATAACTGATATCAGACAGAAGTACAATAAATAAATAAATAATGAATAAAACAGATATTATTTATTTTATATGTGTGTTTGTATATGTACCTCAATCTACATCAATACAAGTAAAATTATTTGTTTGGATTGCCCTCAGCTACTATGAATGCTCTGGATTTAATGCTAGACCTTGTCACTCTAACTTTTTTTTATCAGTAATCATTATATATATCTATATCATATATATAAAAATATATATATTTATATATATATGTAATTACATTTATATAATGTGTATATATAAATAATATACATTGTATGTTTATCTATAATTTACAATATTTATAATGTATTTATTTATATAATAAATATAGACATATTTATATATATGTATCATTATATATCTCTGTATCATATATAAAAATTGATATATATATCTATATATATCTAAATCATTATATATATCTATATCTATGTGAAAAATGCACATGATATGATTGGCTGTTTGCAAATATTAAAATTAATACTGTATGTGTTCTGTTGGAAAGTTGTTCTGTATTAATCTCTTTTAAGCAGTGCTGTATTAATCTCTTTAAGTATTGTGGTAAATATTGTTTTTAGGCAATAGCATAACATTAAAATAGAAACCATGTGATGTAAGATACTTTTTGTAACTAGCTCAAGGAATGGAAAAGATAACCAAGAAATTCTTTGTATAGAGACANTGTCCCCAGCACACTCACCCAGTCGGGGCGCTCCCCAGGCTGCACGCCCTGCTCCCCAGTGTCCCCCATGATGTCCCCATGTCCCCAGTGTCCCCAGCACACTCACCCAGTTGGGGCACTCCCCGGGCTCCCCGTGCTGCATTCCCTGCTCCCCAGGGGCTGTGTCCCCAGCATGGCTGTGTCCCTCCCCAGTGTCCCCATGATGTCCCCATGATGTCCCCAGTGTCCCCAGCACACTCACCCAGTCGGAGCGCTCCCCGTGCTGCATTCCCTGCTCCCCAGTGTCCTCATGTCCCCATGACGTCCCCAGCACACTCTCTCAGTCGGGGCGCTCTCCGGGCTCCCCGTGCTGCATTCCCTGCTCCCCAGTGTCCCCATGTCCCCAGTGTCCCCTACCCAGTGTCCCCAGCACACTCACCCAGTCAGGGCACTCCCCAGGCTGCATGCGCTGCTCCCCAGTGTCCCCATGATGTCCCCATGATGTCCCCATGATGTCCCCAGTGTCCCAGCACACTCACCCAGTCAGAGCGCTCCCCAGGCTGCATTCCCTGCTCCCCAGTGTCCCCATGATGTCCCCATGATGTCCCCAGCACACTCACCCAGTCGGGGCGCTCCCCGGGCTCCCTGTGCTGCATTCCCTGCTCCCCAGTGTCCCCATGATGTCCCCATGTCCCCAGTGTCCCCAGCACACTCACCCAGTCGGGGCGCTCTCTGGGCTCCCCAGGCTGCACGCCCTGCTCCCCAGTGTCCCCATGTCCCCATGATGTGTCCCCATGATGTCCCCAGCACACTCTCTCAGTCGGGGCGCTCGCCGGGCTCCCTGTGCTGCATTCCCTGCTCCCCAGTGTCCCCCATGATGTCCCCATGATGTCCCCAGTGTCCCCAGCACACTCACCCAGTCAGGGCGCTCCCCAGGCTGCATTCCCTGCTCCCCAGTGTCCCCACGATGTCCCCATGATGTCCCCAGTGTCCCCAGCACACTCACCCAGTCGGGGCGCTCTCTGGGCTCCCCGGGCTGCATGCGCTGCTCCCCATGTCCCCATGATGTCCCCACGATGTCCCCATGATGTCCCCAGTGTCCCCAGCACACTCACCCAGTCGGGGCGCTCTCTGGGCTCCCTGTGCTGCATTCCCTGCTCCCCAGGGGCTGTGTCCCCAGCATGGCTGTGTCCCTCCCCAGTGTCCCCATGATGTCCCCATGATGTCCCCAGTGTTCCCAGCACACTCACCCAGTCGGGGCGCTCCCCGGGCTGCATTCCCTGCTCCCCAGTGTCCCCTACCCAGTGTCCCCAGCACACTCACCCAGTCGGGGCGCTCCCCAGGCTGCATGCGCTGCTCCCCATGATGTCCCCATGATGTCCCCAGTGTCCCAGCACACTCACCNTATTAGTATAGTTTAGTAGTTTACTATACTATAGTATAGTACAGTTTAATTAAGAATATTAGTATTTAGTATAGTTATTAAACTATACTAATATTTTATAGTTCAATATTGATATATTAAACTATACTAATATTAATATTAGTATAGTTTAATATTGATATATTAAACCATACTAATACTAATATTAGTATACTTTATCTTAAACCATACTAATATTAATATTAGTATAGTTTAATATTGATATATTAAACGATACTAAAGAACAGAAGAAAGGATTTCATCAGAAGGCTTGCAAAGAAAGAAGTGGAATGATAACAAAATGATAACAAAAGCTCGTGACTCTCAGAGAGTCTGAGACAGCTCATTGTGATTGGCCATTAATTAGAAATAACTAACATGGACCAATCACAGATGCACCTCCTGCATTCCACAACAGCAGATAATTATTGTTTTTTATTTCCTCTGAGGCTTCTCAGCTTCTCAGGAGAAAAATCCTGGCAAAGGGATTTTTCAGAAAATATCATTGCTACACCAATCAGGTCTTAAGTCCACCATTGTTTCTACAAAAACTGTAGATTTCTAATTAAAAAGCACCTTTTCATACCTTCTAATGACAGAATCTCTCTATCAGCTTTGTCTGTTATTGTAAATGTGGACAACCCCAACAAGGGGAGAGAATGATGTATCTGACTCTATGTTCTCAGAAGGCTCATTTATTACTTTATTATACTATATTATATTAAAGAATATAGTATATATAGTATAATATAGTATAATAAAGTAATATAATATAGTATAACTATGTGATACTACACTAAAGAATACAGAAAAAATATTTACTGAATTCTAAAAAGAAAATAATTGAAAACTCAATTGAAAAATTACTTAGAACTTCCTAATATCTCACTAGATATACTTTCCTAAACCCTTCTGATTTTAAACATTCCCACAACTGGGGAGCTCCCAGAGAACCAGAGCAGGAACGGTGTCACTGCCATATTTGCTGGAAAAATCCCTTTGCCATGTAGAAACCCAAAGCACCAAAAATATTTCTCTGTCTGCTCTGGGAGGAGCACTGACTTTGACTCTCATTCATAGAGAAAGTTTCCTAAACTTCAAGATAGACTGGAATCCACAAAAGTGTAAAATAAATTATAGAGTAGTGTAAGTATATAACTTAGTGAGAAATTTAAGATTTGTAGTATACTGTAAATAAAAACAAAACACAGAATGTTATCCTAAGTTTCTTCTTCATACTTCTTCCTCCTTCTTTAAATAGCATTTTGTAATTAAGTAAAAAAATCTGCATTGCAAGCTCTTTAAAATCAATTATAAAGTTTAAAAAATTATCTAAGTGTCAGCTCTTAATTAGTTTAGTCTTTAAAAACCTTATAACAAAAAACTGTTAACCATTTTGTGCCTTCTAATAAAAAAATGCCAAACTCACAGTAATAAAACTGTTTTACTAATAAAAATAATAAACAATTAAGTCCAAATATAAACTATCGTCTCAAGTCCCTTTAATCCAAACCCAAAAAATACAACAACTAAAACCCCACAACTGCCATATTTTCTAGAAAAATTCCCTTGCCCAAGATTTCTCTCCTGAGAAGGGGAGAAGCCACAGAGAAAAAGGAAAACCATATTATCTCATTTGCTTCTCCTGTGTTTTGCTGCTTTGGAATGTGGTTGTCGATTGTTTGTCCAACATGTGAATTGTTTTTACTTCATGATCAATCACAGTCAGGCTGTGTTGGGGCTCTGGAAGGAGTTTTTTTCATTAGTATCACGTTAAGCCTTCTGTAAATATCCTTTCTTTATTCTTTAGTATAGTTTAGTATAGCATTCTTTTATATAATATAGTAACATAAAATAATAAATCAGCCTTCTAAGAACATGGAGTCACATTCGTCATTTCCTTCCTACCACAGAATGGCTTTGCCAGACTCTGTTCTCCCTTCCCAAATCAGAGGTGGAACACGACA